GGGTCGGTGTTCCCCACAGTGAAGTACTAGGGCGAATAAAGCCCTTATCTAGCAACTCCTGGAGTTGAATCTTCAACTCACTCAGCTCGGCTGGAGCAAAACGATATGGTGACATGGAGATCGGTATCGTGCCAGGCACTAAGTCAATAGAGAATTCAATCTCTCGATGGGGTGGTAAACTAACAAGATCCTCGGGAAAGACGTCCGAGTACTCACAAACCACTCTTGACAACTCAGTCCGGGTCTCATCGCACTCACTACTCATACAGCTAGCGAGAAGGCAACTAAGCTCACTCCGCCCTCGCAGATCATACATCGGTGGTAAAACCCTACCAACCTGATCTCCCAAGAAATGAAAACAATTTCCGCTCAAGGTACATACAATAACCCTCTGACGGTAGCAATCTACAATAGCCCGGTATGACAATAACCAGTCCATACCCAAAATCACATCAAATCCAAACATATCCATCAACACAAAAGAAAAGGGAAGCCAACGATCAACGACCTCTATATCACAACCCCGACACCCCTGTTTCAAAATCAACTCACCCCCAACAGGTGACGCAACATAAATAGGAAATGCTAACTCTGCCAACTTCAATCCCAAAACAGATACAAATGCAGAAGATATAAACGAATGGGATGAATGAGATGTACCCGTATCAATTAACACATTAACAACTGAGTTGCAAAACAAGAAGATACCTCTCACTACTGATGGAGCAGGTACAAAATTCGGCGCTGTAATAGCATACACGCGCCTTGTAGGCCTTTGATCCACCTGCTCACCTCTCAAAACATAAGACTGCTGCACAGACTAAGCTGAAGAGGCTCCCTAATTGGCCCTCGAGGCCTGAACTGACTATGCTGGCTGGTGACTCTGTGTCTGCCTCGAACCAGACGCACCAGGCGTGCCACCTAGCTGTGGGCAAAACCTCTTCAGGTGCCCTGCCTGCCCACACTGATAACAAGCGAGCGGCTGGCCTCTGTCCTGACTCTGGCCCTGCGAATGGGCCGAAGATGATGCTGCTCGCTGCCCTCCTCCTCTCTGCGGGCAAGCTGGAGACTTGTGGCCCAGTTGACCACATTTAAAACAGGTAATGTCTCCTTGATCGCCTCTCCCAGAACTCGAACTCAGTACTGGAAAGGTAGATCTAGAATGTGCTCCGTGGGACTGTTGAAGGTTAGAACCCCTCTGTCTCTTGTCGTTCCCCTGGCCATCCTGACTCCTCCTAGAACCCCTCATCCTCTCTTCCTCAACATGCATAATAGTCTTAAGATGGGCAGCAGCCTCCACTAGACATACTCCCTAATCATGGACCCGGCCACTCGAAACATGAGTCCGGTCCTCAACTTCTTCTCAAACTCCAGACACCGATGCTCCTCAGTCACCACTAACTCTGGTGCAAACCTCGATAAGCTGGTAAAAGTGGCTTCAAACTCCGCCATAGGCGTGTTCAGTTGCTTGAACTGACAAAACTAGTCTTTCAACTTCTTCCTAACAGTGGGAGGCAAGAACTTTTCCTGAAAGACATCAACAAAGGCCTCCCAAGTCCCTCCAATTCACCCTCGGACAAACTTCCACCACTGACCTGCTTCTCCCTTCAGCTGGGAGGACGCCAAGGTCACTTGCAAACCCCCGTCTTCGATGCCAAGCATCTCAAACGTCTTCGTCATCTGCTCCAGCCACTCATTAGCCTTAAGTGGCTCCTTAGGATCCCTAATAAACTCATCCGGATTAGACCGAAAGAACTCTCTCTTCAGAAAGGAAGGCCCCTGCATCAAGAACCTGGGCCTGAACTGGATTCTCGGCTCTGAGAATGCCTATGGAGTCCCTCATGGCTCCTGCTATCTCGCGGGCTAACACACCCATGGCCTGCTGACCCACTGGTTCGGCCACGTTGGCCTGACCAACACCCTCCGGTTGTGCCGGAATATCATCCGATAAAGGCATCTCCTGCCTACCACGCCTACCATGCCTGCCTCGTCCTCGTCCTGACATCCTAATAAAGGTAACGAAGAACATTAGCACAATCATAAATGTGCCGAAGCTATAACACTCGCGTCCTAAAGCGCATCCTAAAACAATGGATAATGGTAATTCACTCCACATAATCACATTAGCACTTACGAATTTCATTTCCGGATACTGATCGTTCTGCAGCATTGCTAGAGTTCCAGTTAGAAATGGAAGTGATCAAGTGCCTTTCCAACAAGACTCCCAAAAACCCATAGACCCGATCAATATCCTGGAAATCAAATCCCATACCCATATAGTCACATAAATATGTTGTCACATAAGCACACAACATTACACTTAGGTCTCTAACAAGCGAGACAAACCCGTTGTGGTACTAACCACTTCCCACGTACCCAAAGTATTTGAACCCGGTACGCTCTGATACCAAGTTGCAACGCCCTCAAAATAAGACATAACTCATTCATTCATAAGATCCATAAAACATAAAAGAAGTATTATATTCCATACATCAGAGTATTCTATACAAAAGATATTACATGTTTGTCAACAAAAATAGATGTCCAACGGCTTACAACCTCCCAAGTCGATACTTGGTTACACAAAAGAAGAGTTCTAACTCTTTTACATATAAAGCCCTTGGCTTGAATTTCTATGTAACATCAACAAAATAACAAAAAAGAAGTCTTCAACTCCTAAGCCTTCCAAGCTATCTTGGAGGTGGCATAACACCTGTACCTGAAAATGATGTCCCAAATAGGATGAGCCAAAGCCCAGTAGAGATACGCTAAACATTATATGAGGATTAACTAAAGCACTAGCATTTGATAAATGTTTAACCTTTATAAGCCAACTTACATTCGTTCCATAACCAATCCACTTACCATACTCAATATTATTCAAACAATTCAAAATGAGACTACAACTCATATATCAACACTTCAATAATCAATAACATTCAACATTTCCATTTTCTTGCCATTTTACGGAACTACGTCCGAGGGAACTGGCACCCAAATATACAAAGGATTTTGGGACTTTCACCCTGGACACTCCAGCTAACTTAATTAGCAATGGAGTTCATCCCCTATCTCCTCCCAAACAAATGGAGTACATCCCTTATCTCCTCCCACACAATATACATATACAATGTTTTTAAACACATAGTCGTATACAATGACCCAACATTTCACATATTCAATGTGTTAATTCCACCGTCACATTCAATGACACAATCCAATTGATTAGTTTCAATTTCCCTAATCATCATGCATTGTCTACAACAATCAAGAATATCCTCCACCGATAGTCCCAAACAGTTATTTCTAAACAGATAAATAAATCTATCAAACAGATAATTTATTACATTTTCCATCGGCGAGTGATTCATCAATCTAACTACGCCAATTAGTCCCAATTCCATCCAATTTCATGATTTTCAAATCAATTTCATATTCCCACTATTTCCAAATTTATTATACAAATTGATTATTTAAATTCAATTAGGGCATTTTCCTTATTTTCTCAAACATTGATCCTAAGACCAAATTTCACCAATCAAACCCACAAAACCCCATTTCCAAGACCTCATATGCACATGGAGCTTAAAAACACAAAACCCCTCTTTTAAATATTACAAATCTCAAACCCTAACTTTCCAAAATTTTCCCAATTTCTCCATTTATTCAAAATGACTAGTATTTATGTTAAAACTTATAAAAAGGAGTAGTTTATCCCTACCTCAAATGGAGAAGCTTAAAGGAGATGAAGTGGAAAACTCAACATGCTCCAAACCCAAACTTTTTCGGGTAAAAAAGTAGCCCACGCGAAGCTCAAGCCTTTTAACAAAGGGACTAAGGTAGAAAACCTCTAGAACACAGTATATTTGTAGAGAGAAGGTGTGTTTAGAGAGAGAGGCAGACGGACCTAGGGTTTTTAGTGAAACGAAGATCAAAAAGTGAAGGAGAAGACCCCTGCTACGAACTGACAAATACGATACTCGCTCGAGCGAAGGATTGGTCGCTTGAGCGACTAAACACAAAAGAACCTCGCTCGAGCACAAGAAGGGCTCGCTCGCTCGAGCGAAGAATACCAACCTTCAGGTCTAAAAGAGACGCAGACGCACGCTCGAGCGCAAGACTACTCACTCAAAGCAAAGAGACACAAGACACAAGACTCGCTCGAGCGTAAGAAAGCTCGCTCGAGCATAAGTTACGTCTGAAAAAGAAACCTGAAGACGCACAATACTCGCTCCTGCACACAAACCCTCGCTCGAGCGAAGATGCAAACACCCAAGGCTCGCTTGAGCGCAAAAAGCCTCGCTCGAGCGAAGAGGCCAAAACCTGGGTAGCAACCTTTTGTTCTAACTCACAACCAACCTGTTCCAAACTCATCCAACACATCCCAAAACTCAAATACAAAAAATTAAAGGTTGGAAACGAGATACAGACAACAACATACAACGACAGAACTCGAGTCCGGAACACTATAAGTAATGGGAAAAAATCGGGATCGTTATAATGTCATTTGAACCAAAACAATCTCCATTGCACCGTTTCTTGCACACTATTTGAAGAAAAGTTCAAATAAATACATACATGTGCTAGAAAAAGATATTGCAGCTCACAATCCATGATGTGGTGGAAGAAGTTGTTTTTTATTGTGATTATCAAAAAACTGGTAGAATTCATCAATAAAATCATTAAAAAGTTCAATTAATTGGATATTGATAATTATATAATTGAGTATTAATTATGTGAAAAAAAAGAGTCTATTATCAAATTTATACTGATTATTTAATTTTAAAAAAATCAATATCATCTAATCATGTGACTATGAATGCTCAATTAATTTCATTTTTTTATTAATGATGTAACAACTCTTACAAAATTAACTATTTACATCACAATTAAACTTCCCAAACAGAGCTCTTATTGACCTTTTATTGCAACAGTTATATGATTGTTTTTCGCTTACTCTATTTGGGAGTGCCTAATGTGTTTTCCCATTGTCCCTCCAGGTGGTTAACATGAGAGGAAGCTACAAATCCACTTCTCACTCAACAAAAAAAAATTTCGATGAGCCTTTGGCTTGCTAAAAATTTTAAATTGCTTTCTATTTGATTTTATGTATTCTGATTTGAATTGAAAGTTAATGTGTTTTTTTTTTTCTTTTGTTTTTGTAGTGTTTTTGCAGTGTTCTGCTTTTGATAAATCATGGATAATGTGCCAGCTATGTGATAAAATTATCCAAAAAACACATTTACTATTTCCGAACAAAGCAAAGTTATTATAGTAATAGTAAATTAAACTTGAGAATAGAATGATCATTTTATTTCAATTGTATTTTATTGAACCAAAAACTACTTAGGAGTTGGATCCTACTAAATTTTTGTTCCATAATGTATTTTTTCATTTTTCCCTTATGATAATATTTTCTTATTAGTTTTATTTACTTGATTTTTTTAAACATGCATTCTATGCGGTTTGTGACAACATTTTTCACTCATGTCATATCCGCACTTAGAAGTAACATTATTGATAACGCTATCCAATATTTGATTGCATATTTCATGTTCTATATGATTTTTCTTCATTTTCGTACTTGCTTTTTAATTGAAAATAAAAATGGTCTATATACTATAATCTTTCAAAGTACAATTGATTATTATTATTACTTTTGAACATATTAAGATATTCTCTAATTGAATTTTGAAAATTTAAATTATTAGATGACATTTTTAAAAAAATTGTCCCAATATGACATTTTTAATCATATTACATCATTTGCCTATATTTTTAGAAACTAAAATTTTAAAAGCACATATATAAATAGATGAAATAAGAATACTATAATTGACATAATGTATCGTATGAAAAGATTAGATTATTTTTTAAGAGGAACAATACCTTTAATAGTTGCTATATATAAACTTGATTAATTGACAGATTCAATGCTTTGAACACCTTGATATGCAGAATAATATTAGCAACTGTATAATTAGGAATGCAACTGTGTATTTTCACATATGAAGTTAACTTAAAAAAAACAAGTATATTTTAAAAGTAAAATATGTGTACAAAATTTAAAAAAAAAAAATTCATTGAATATAACAAAATACAAAGAATTGTTAAAAAAACTATTTTTTATTAAAATAAATTTTTTTTATAGTTGATGAATTTTTTTTTTTTTTTTACAAATATTATATTTTTAAGCATATTTAGATTAAGTGTATTTAAAAAATAAAAAAATTACTTAAAATATTAAAAAATTACTAAAAATAAAAAAATAAAGAAAAATAAAAAATTTAATTTTTAAAAAGTGAACTCAATTTTTCTAAAATGCAACATGGTGATTGTTATTATTCTCTAGTGTGTCTTATTTCTTATATATTTATTGGGATTTTCTCCCTCACTTTGAGAACTTCTTTGTATTGATTGGTGATTGTTATTATTCTCTAGCGTGTCTTATTTCTTATGTATTTATTGGGATTTTCTCCCTCACTTTGAGAACTTCTTTGTATTGATTATATATATATATATATATGTATTATGTTTAATCTTAATTATTATTATTATAATTCATTACGATTCATTGTAATATCTTATATGAATCAAATCAATAAAACAAAATCTATTATTGTTATTATTATTATTTTTTATCATTAGACAATACAAATTATAACTTTAAATAAAATAATTTAATATTTAATGATAAAAGTTATAAAAAGAACATATAAATTTACACTTATTAATTCCTCTAATATAAATTTATAAAAATGAAAGTTATTTTGCTCATTTGATAATTGATAATTTTAGTTGACTTTTTGATCTTTTATCAATAGGTTTTCAAAAAACGAAAAAGAGAAAAAGAATAATATAATAACTCGTGGTGACTTTTTAATTATTTTACTCAATTGACAAATGATATCTTATTATATTTAAATTAAATAATCATAATTGTGTGTTATCTAGATTATGGTCCCGTAATATTGTTATGGGGTGTCGGTTCGTGGTTATTAGGACGATGAGTCATGTAGAATTCAATCCATTCATTCATTTAGCTAATGGAAAATGATTTGTCCTCCTAAAAAAGTCTTTCCTAATCTTCTTAAATTTCAAAACGACGTCGTTTTGGGTAAATTTATTTATTTATTTTTTTTATTTTTTTGCCTTAGTTTAAAATTTAGGGGGATTAGGGGGTCAAAAATTAATGAGATGTAGCAAGGTCCTTAGCTAATACCTAAATGCAAGTTTTGCCAATTGTGTTGAGAAAAGTTCAGGAATTGGTGGTACAATTCAATTGGCACCAAACTAACACATCGATTTACGTGACGGAGATTATAAGTTCTGATTTTTATTATGGTAATGTCTCATTTATTAACTTTACATTTTAATTAAAAAATTAAAATGTTATTATAAGGCCAAGTTTGGGAAGATTAAATAAGTGTATTTTTTGTCTTTTTGGACTAAAAAATTGAGATTGAAAATATGGATGTTTGGGTTAACTTTTTGACTTTTTATGGAAAAATGTGTAATAAAAAATTGTAAAAATTGGTTTGTAGAGGAAAATTTGAATTGGGAGTTGTGCAGCCGTAATTGTTGACTTTTGGTGAATAGTGTTAACTTTTTAACTTTTTGAGTAACTTTTTGACTTTTTGACTTATTTGGGACTTCCCAAACTTATCATATTATCTTTTTTACTTTTTTATATAACTTTTTATAAAAAGTTTAAAAATTATTAAAATAACATGACCTAACTTCTGATACAAGTTCATAATTATATTTTTGGTTCGTCGGTACTAAACGACATTGTTGTGTTTTGGCAGTGATTTCCAATCATCGTAACGACAAACAATACCAACGCCTCATTCTCTCTCTGTGTAATTGTACGATCTTCTTCTCTATCTATCGATCTATCGATCTATCTGTGGCCAGTATTTCAATTCAGTGTTTATTATTACTATTATTATTAGGGTGTGGCTTCTGTCCAATCCGATTCCGGTCTACCGTGCTGTTAGACATGTGGGGGTTTATCGGGGGTTCCGTTTTGATAATTTGAACCGTTCAATGTGTAAAACTCGTTGAGTATTATATGTTTATAAAAAATCACGTTGATCAGATATCGATAGTTATATGATCAAATCAGTTTCGTATTAAAAAAATTGGACAGTGAACAAATTAACGGTTGACAAAAAACTGTTTTGATCACATAGCTATCGATATCCGATCAACGTGATTTTTTACAGGCATATAGTACTTAACGATTTCTACACATTGAACGGTTCAAATTATCAAAACGGGATCCATGGTGGGCCCCACGGGCCCAATAGCACGGTCCAATCTGATCCCGGACTGGACAGAAGCCATACCCTTATTATTATTATATATTTTTTGTGAATGTTTGCTATGAAGTTTAGAGGAACCAACCCTAATCTTTAGGGCTGGTTTGATAAGTCCAAAATAATTTAGAAAGTCAAAAAATTACACAAAAACTAAAAAAGTCATTATTATTTACAAATAAAAAATATTAAAATTTTTTTATATAATACAAAAGTTTGATGGATGCTGTCAGCCCTACTTGTGAAACAAGAAGACTATTATACACTTTTTGGGTAAAAAAATAAATAAATATGTAAAGTCACAAAGTTTGATGGTAATGTTGGACCCACTAAGGGTTCCGTTTTGATAATCCGAACAGTTTAATATGTAGAACTCATCGAGTACTATATGTTAATAAAAAATCACGTTGATCGGATATCAATAACTATCTGATCGAATTAGTTTTTTTTTCAACCATTAACTATAACACCATCTATTTTTTTACACAAAACTGATTTGATCATATAGTTAGCGATACTCGACCATCGTGAATTTTTAAAGGCGTATAGTACTCGACGAATTCTACACATTGAACGGTTCAGATTATAAAAATGGAACCTGTGATGACCCCCATGAGCTGAACAACACCATCCTTAAGCTTGCCTCCGCCTATGTAATTTGTCATCACCAAAGTCAGGCAAAGGTTTCTGATTGCTGTATATGTGGCTGCTTATTTCCCAAATGGTTTCATGGTTTGTAACCTTGTATTAGGTTCTAAGGAATTGTGAGGACATGATATTATAGGAAAGGAATCACAAACAGTTTTGAATTTGAAATTTCTGTTTTTAATATAATTTTATTTTCTATAGAAGTAGCTTTTGTGACAATGAACTTTCTTCATGCTAGCTTGTGAAATTTTCTTGCTTTTTCTAGTAATCCCATTTCTGATTAACAATTATAGATGTGAGACAATTTATACATATCTCGGTATATTATATATACGAAAGATGTCTAGTTTTAGATGTTGACTTTAGTTTTTGGATAGAAGTTCTGAACAGATCACTGATTGTTTTTTATTGCTTGGTGGTATTTGATTCACTTTCATTTGCATGTGTCGAAACTTTTTTATGAATTGTATTATGAGTAAAGCATAAAATATGATAAGTTTACTTTCAACATTTATGATGGAGTCATGTGCTTCTCACCTCTAATTTCTGAGTTCAATGAAGTAATCAAAGAACACAGATTGATTCTTAATTTGATATAGTCAAACTGCTTCAAAACAAGTTGATAAGATAAAAAACAAGATAAAAAAATTGTTAACTGAACTTCAGCTAGGCCTAGTTTGGCTGCATATTAAATTCATGAACTCTGGTACTATACAACATATAATCTTTTTTTCTTCTTCTTCTTTTTGCTATTTTTCATGTCACTTATCCTCGATTACAGGAAAATCTTCTTTCCATGCTTTTAAATTTATCACTACATTTTTGAAGATCCAACAATAGCTTGTTGGAAAAATAGTGTAATATAGGCTTATTTTGGGTCATCTTTGAGCCCAAAATAGAGTGGGCCCCAAACGTTTTTTGGGGTGGGTCCGAAAAGGTGACGCGTTCCTTGTCGCGTGGCAAGTCACAAGGTGAAAACGGTTCGTCAAAACCATTTATGAGTGAATGGGAAGTTGACGTCGTTTTCAAGTTCGTGGAATGGACAGTTAAAGATTTAAATGTAGGTTTTCTTAAAATGGGTTGTTCCACATTGAAACTTTAAGAGAGCTTTTTTGTGTATATAAGCTCTAGACTACAACACTTGGGTTGGGCCCCAAGAAGCACCCCAAGTTTGTAGAAGGGAGGAGTTATGGACAAAGTGAACCTTAGCCCAAACCACCATACGCGTACGCCGCTGCCGTCCGACCGTGCCGTGCACAGGTGTGGGTCAGGTCGGTTCTTGTATTAATTTTTTGGATAAAATTCAAGCGAGAAATTTTAATTTAATTCCAAAATTGAATTTCAATTTTTCCTGTCCATGTTTGATGCCTTTTCTGTCCGAATTCTAAACTGTTTGAACAGTGTTATAACTGCCCAAAATCTATACAAAATGCAGC